GAAATATTTTAGTTAATTTGTATATCTGGAATGCATTTAATTTCACTCATAAGAGCCCATATGCAATGTTCATCATGCTTATTTTCATGCCTTGTGTTCACTAAGAGACACATTTTTGTCACTTAGTATACCAATTAATAAATTGTCTATTATTCATTGATACACAAACAACAAAAGTGCCTCTAGTAGCCCCCTCAGGAGTATGAACTTTATTTTTAGAATCTCAACAGTCTGATCCTAGGCGGGGCATTTATTTTTTATTTTTTAAATTTAAATTCAATTTAGTTAACATGTAGTGTATTATTAGTTTCAGTGTAGAATTGTGTGATCAGTTGCTTACAGCACACAGTGCTCATTACATCAGATGCCCTACTCCACGCCCATCACCCCGTTAGCCCATCCTTCCAATCCACCTCTCCTCCAGCAATCCTCAGTTTCCTATAGTTAAGAATCTCTTAATGGTTTGCCTCACTTTCTATTCATCTTGTTTTATTTTACCTTCCCTTTCCCTATGTTCATCTGTTCTGTTTCTTATATCCCACATATGAGTGAAATCATGTGGTATTTGTATTTCTCTCACTGACTTATTTCACTTAGCATAATACTCTTTAGCCCCATCCACATTTTTGCAAATGGCAAGATTTTATTCATTTTGATAGCTAAATAATAATCCATTGTACAAATACACCACATTTTCTTTATCCATTCATCTGTTCATGGACATCTGGGCTCTTTCCATATTTTGGCTGCTATAAATGTTGGGGTGCATGTGCCCCTTTGAATGACCATTTGTGTATTCTTTGGATAAATACCAAGCAGTGCAATTACTGGATCATAAGGTAGTTCTATTTTTTACTTTTTGAGGAACCTCCATACTGTTTTCCAGAGTGGCCGCACCAGTTTGCATTCCCACCAACAATGTAAGAGCATTTTCCTTTCTCTGTATCCTTGCCAACATCTGTTGCTTCCTATGTTTGTTAATTTTAGCCATTCTGACCAGTGTGAGGTAGTATCTCATTGTGATTTTTATTTGTATTTCCCTGTTGCCGAGTGATCTTGAGCAAAATTTTCATGTGTCTGTTGGCCATTTGTATATCTTCTTTGGAGAAATATATGTTCATGTTTTCTGCCTATTTCTTGACTGGATTTTTTGATTTTTGGATGTTTGATAAGTTCTTTATATTGATTTTGGAAACTAGCCCTTTACCTGATAAGTCATTTGTGAATAACTTATCCCATTCTGTAGGTTGCCTCTTAGTTTTGTTGATTGATTCCTTTATTGCGCAGAGGCTTTTTATCTGGATGAAGTTTCAATAGTTCATTTTTGCTTTTGTTTCCCTTGCCTCCAGCGACATGTCTAATATGATGTTGCTATAGCTAGAGTCAAAGAGGTTGCTGCCTGTGTTCTCCTCTAGGATTTTGATGGTTTCCTTTCTCACATTTAGGTCTTTCTTGAGTTTTGAGTTTTTTGTTTTGAGTTTATTTTGGGGGTATGGTGTAAGAAAGTGGTCTAGTTTCATTTTTCTGCATGTGGCTATCCCATTTTTCCAACACCACTTGTTGAAGAGACTGTCCTTTTTTTCCATTGGGTATTCTTTACTGCTTTGTCAAAGATTAGTTGACTATAAGCATTTGACAAAATACAGCATTCTTTCTTAATTAAAACCCTTCACCATGTAGGGAGAGAGTAAACATACCTCAACATCATAAAAGCCATATATGAAAGATTCATAGTGAATATTATCCTCATTGGGAAGAACTGAGAGCTTTTCCCTAAGGTCAGGAACATGACAGGAGATGTCCACTCTCACCACTCTTGTCCAACATACTCCTGGAAGTCCTAGCCTCAGCAATCAGATAACAAATAGAAATAAAAGGCATCCAAATCAAAAAAGGAGAAAACTTTCAGTCTTAGCAGATGACACGATACTATATATAGAAAATCCAAAAGACTCCACCAAAAAATTGCTAGAATTGATAACAGGAATTCAGCAAGGTCACAGGATATAAAATCACACAGACGTGATTTGCATTCATATAGACTAACATTGAAACAGTAAAAAGAGAAATCAAGGAATTGACCCCATTTATAATTGCACCAAAAACCATAAGATAACTAGAAATAAGCTTAACCAAAGAGGTAAAGAATCTCTGAAATCTCTAGAACACTTAAGAAAGAAATTGAGGAAGACTTAAAGAAATGGAAAAACATTCCATGCTCATGGATTGGAAGAATAAATATTGTTGAAATATCTATGCTTCCCAAAGCAGTCTACACACATTCAGTGCAATCCCTATCAAAATACCATAAGCATTTTTCACCAAGTTGGAACAAATAATCCTAAAATTTTTATGGAACCAGAAAGACCCTGAATAGCCAAAGGAATGTTGAAAAAGAAAACCATAAATGGAGGCATCACAATTCCTGACTTAAAGCCGTGGTCATCAAGACAGTATGGTACTGTCAGAAAAACAGACACATAGATCAATGGAACAGAATAGAGAATTTAGAAATGGACCTTCAACTATATGGGTTGATCATTTTTTGAGTAGATGCTATCAACACCTGAGTTATAGCTCACCCTAACAATATACATATAATTGCATTGTATTTTAAAGTAAATTCTAACCTTATAACACATAGTATAACAATATTACATATAAAACATGCTTTTGAGTGCAAATATGTTAAGTCATTATTTGGAGTTTTGAAATGAATGGCAGACCTTTTTGATAACTTTATTTTTTTTAATTTTACCTTAACATTTTAATTTAAACTAGCATTATTATGTCCTGTACGTCCAACATGTCATTAAGTGTAATTATTTTTTCATTTTTCAAGTCTGTCTACAGTTGAAGTGTGTTTTGACCCTGACATTCTTAATAGCTTTATTTATAGGCAAGCCCATACTTTGTTAATTGCTTATGTCATTGAGTAAACCTCAGGTGAGAGCAGATTGGGGCAGAAATCAGGAAACCCTATTTATCTTCCATAGTCATCTCATAGCTTAATAAAATTAGGGAAGATGTTCAGCTTGAATGTGTTCAGAGAAATAGTAAAATGTATGAGAAATGTAGTAGAACTTAGTACCTTCATGACTTAAATAACTTTGGAGAGTAAAATATCCTTTGGTTGGTATTCAGTTAATATTTGGTCAAGGAATACTTTATCGACTAGGGAGATATAATTTTTAGTTGTCATATGATAAAATGTCAACTCAAACCCTCTGTGATTTGGCCAATTACTTAACCTAATGCCTTGGTTTCTTTGTAAGTCAAACAAAGGTACTAATACTAAGTACTTCACAAGGTTAAAGATTAATAAAATATGTGTAAAATCCATAGCAAAGTGTCTACCAAATATGTTCTCAAAAATGGTACCCATTTCAAGAACAAAAAGAAAGCACCAAAAGACTTTCGAGAGAGTGGTCAACAATGTCCATGTGATCTCACGTCGCTCAGAGAAGCAGCAAGTAAGAACTCAAAAACACACTTTTCTTCTAGAATGTGGTATATGTGTGGCTGATAAACCACTCATTTGGCAGAATTCCACACTAAAAATATTAGAATCAATGAGGGAAAAATTAAAGTTTAGGCAGCCCACTCATTGTTGTTGTTAGTTCTCTAGTTATAATCCTAATGAAATATTAACTCCATTAACTTTCTAGCAATATTTACACCCAGCATCACAGTCAGCTAACCATTTGTATCAAATATTCTCTCAAATGGAGTAGATGGCAGTTACAGAATACATTGGAGTCTAATCGTTTCATGAAAATTGAACATCTGATTCAAACTACTCAGAGAAACATCTTCACAACTTCTTTCTTTAACAGAAAGCTTGACTGTTGAAAAGTATAAGGTTCTTGACTCCACTCAACCAGCCCCTATTGTGCTAAACGAATTGACTTGTACAGGGTTTTTAGCCGCTCATCTCCAGTTTTTTAGGATTTTTTACATTGTTGAGGCTTTTTCTTTAATTGGGTTGAAAGCTTGCTCCTGATGACTTAAAATGTTACGGTGCTAGAGGAAAATTGTATGAATCAGCAAGATATCCAAAGTCCAAATTATATTGATATTGTTCATTATTTATCAATGGCAAAGAAGCTATTTTATATAAATATGTATTTATATAAATATACTATGTATTAGAAGAAGGAATTCTGAACTCCCCTAAAGGTCTTTGGAACTAAATTGTTTATAGAGAGTAAAGGAATACAAATCAAACATGTTTCTTTTGTTGCTCTATTTCGTGTGTATCAGCCACTTTTAGGTGTAGTTTCATGGGTTAGCCACAGTAGAGACATCTGTTAGTATTTTCTCACATTTTTTTCTTGTGCTTATTCCCTGCAGTTGGCTGAAAAGTCTATGAAATTATCTCTGGATTACTAGCAGAAGTTCCCAATCCTGTTAATAATTACTGTTTAGTATCAACTTGATTTATCCTATTCCTATGGCAGTATTTGCCCCTCAAACACCTTTTAGAGGTGCCTCTAAGGCACTTCTATCTAATTCTAACACAGAGGTCAAACTGTGCCTATAATGTTTTGGGGGGGTTGTTGTGCAAGATAGGCAGAGACCATTTTGATAAAATTATTCCGTGTGTACAGTATACTTTGTTTTATATTGGTATAAAAGTTTTACAATATAACTGGTTGACTTTACCAAATCTTCATGAATTTTTTTTAAAGATTTTATTTATTTATTCATGAGAGTCACAGAGAGAAAGAGGCAGAGACACAGGCAGTGGGAGAAGCAGGCTCCATGCAGGGAGCCCAATGTGGGACTCGATCCTGGAACTCCAGGATCACGCTCTGAGCCGAAGGCAGATGCTCAACCACTGAGTCACCCAGGCATTCCCTCTTCATGAATTTTTAAAAAAATACTTGTGCTATATTTAAAGAGTGTCACCTTGCATATCAATGCTAAAGTAGCAGTTTTTGCTTACAAATTATATGCATGATTTTGTTGGGTCACATTTCTGTGTCATTTTATTTTAGCTACTCTAAGAGGAGATGATTCCATTATTTCAAGTCCTGATGTCACAGATGTTGCACCAAGTAGAAAGAGGAGGCAGCGGATGCAAAAAAATCTTGGAACAGAACCGAAAATGGTTTCTCAGGTACACCAGCCTCAAGAAAAGAAGTAAGTCATTTTATTTTTTGCCAAATGATGAGATATCATTTAAAAAATCTAATATCTGACCTCAAAAATTATATTCTTATTTCTGAATTTACTTAAGGCTATTTTTAAAGAACAAAAATTGTGATTTTGGAAAGTGTAAAATGTTCAAATCAATATATTTTCTCTGGTATTTAGTTAATTCCTATTAATATTTAAAGCAGAAGTACTGGGATCCCTGGGTGGCACAGCGGTTTAGCGCCTGCCTTTGGCCCAGGGCGCGATCCTGGAGACCCGGTCTTGGAGACCTGGGATCGAATCCCACGTCGGGCTCTCGGTGCATGGAGCCTGCTTCTCCCTCTGCCTATGTCTCTGCCTCTCTCTCTGTCTCTCTCTCACTGTGTGCCTATCATAAAAAAAAAAATAAAATAAAAAAAAATAAAGCAGAAGTACTAAAAATCTAAGCAAAATGTTTTTTCTCATGGTTTTTATAGATTAATTAGAAATGGCGTGTAGATACTAAAAATATTAAAATCCAGCTTGTGTTCAGTAAAGTGTTTCAACCTAATTTACTGCTTTAAACAGACCCATATAGCATTTGAATTAGCTACTTGATTTGGCTATGCTTGGAATTTTCTCAAACAAATTGTCCCTTCCTAGTCATCTATTTCTTTCTATTAAATTTTGGAATTACATGCTTTATTGTTAGTTTTTCACTCTTTCGTTCAGATACCTTCCTTTGATCTGCATCCCAGTTTAGTTGTAATGAGTTGAGGACGGGATAATTAGCATTAATGCAGCAAAGCAACTTTATAAAGAATTATCAGTTGAAAGCAAAATGGATGTGCAAATCATTTGTATGTTTGGATATATGTGTATATGCCCTGAGAATTTCTTTCTTTTTCGCTAAACTTTTTATTAACTTAGTAAATAATTATTAAACAATAGCCATATGACAAATGATATTACAGTCAGTGGTTTCACAGTGTGGCATGAGGACCCCTGTTGGGATCCACAAGCTCATCCCTTTTTCAATTCCATACCTGTTTGGAATATATTTCATATATTTTAATTAAAACAACATATCAGATCTGATTGAATGTGGGGGCATATTCAACTCTTTTTATTCATGCCAGCCTTGAAGCAGATGTGCAAAAGTATAAAAGATTGCTTTCACGAGAATTTCTGTTTGGAAAATAGAATGATCTTTCATAAAGAATATGTTATGTTATCATATGTTGGGTTTATTGTTATTTTTAAATGAGTTTATAAAGATTTTAAAAATTTTCCTGGTTTTAACTTTGAATATTATAAATATAGTCCACATAAACAAAAGCTTTTGAGGATCTCAAAAACTTTAAAAAGTGTAAAGCCATCCTGAGAGCAGAAAGTTTTAGGCGATGAGGATGCCAAGACAGGCACAATCCAAAGCCTTCAGGAAACTGACAGCCTGATAGGAAGGAGTTTTCAAGTTTCTTGTAAAGAAATAAGCATTATACAGTTAAGAGTGGAATTGTTTTTGTTTGCCTATTTAGTATTGGGTTTTTATTCTCTCCACAATTGGCGTAATCTGTCGTTAACTGGTATGTTTTTATGCCCTTGTGTCTTCATACAATACATACAGAAATCCACTCCATACTAAACTCTTTGTGATTTGTATGTATCATCTGAACTCATTCATTAGCTCATAAGCTGCTGGTTTCATAGAGTTCAAAGGTATTATATTATCTCTTTTAAATAATGAACCAAAAATATTTCTACTTTGCAAACATTAGAGCAGCCAAACTATTCCTATAGATTAATATGGGAAAAAATAAATTTACAAGCAGTTTGAAGTATTCTGGAAACTCTGTACTTCCTTCAGTCAATCTGTAAGCAAATGAGCATTGCAAATCACTTGTGTGCCAGACAGAACCTGGCTGTTGAGGATTGAGGAGAGTAGAAAGCAGACACAGCTCCTGTCCTCATGAAACTTTTGGTTTAATCATTTTGTCTAATGAAGATTTCAGAGTCTGGGGGAAGAATGAAATATATATATATATTTTAAAGATTTTATTTATTTATTCATGAGAGACACCAAGAGAGGGCCAGAGACATAGGCAGAGGGAGAAGCAGGCTCCATGCAGGGAGCCCAATGTGGGACTCGATCCCATGACCCAGGGATCACGTCCTGAGCTGAAGATAGACGCTCAACCACTGAGCCACCCAGGCATCCCAGATATATTGGTTTTACATTAGAGAGTTGCACCTTTGGTCTTCTCACTCTGTGCGTGAATGATATACAAGGTTTTGAAGTTACTAACATTTTCTGATTATACGATACCGCTTAAACAGGTTTCCATTACACATGGTACAGAGATGAAAAAAGTTTAGATCTGAATCAAGACTAAATATTGTATTTAGACTTTTTAATAAATGCAGCATGTTGTTTCTACCAAGTATATGCAATTAATGTTGTGTTCCTTTTCTGTGTTTTGAGAATCATGCCAGTACTTATTTTGTATATTTTCACTTCTTTAAAAGTTGATATAAACCATATCAGCTTCTTTGAATTGTCTGCTAATTATATTACTTTGGACCTTTAGGCTCAACTGGCCCTTAGAAGAAATGAAAAACATATGTTAGATGTCAGGAAGAATTTTAAAGATGAAAGGAAATTTAGTTTAGCATTTATCAATCAGATGTTGAGTGGTTGATACCCTGCTTTACAATTCCTCTTCCCTTGCCCAGATAAAGCAGAAAGAGAAACTATATGTTTTGTTTTTATCTTTTTGCATACTTTTGGGTTTTGTTTTTCCATTTTGAATACAGAGGCTGAAATTTTATGGCCATTAAAGTTTAAAGTGCTTGTTCTTTCCCACTTTCTTTAATCAAAAACATTAGAAAGATTCTACAAAACAAAAAATAAAAACAAGCTCTTAACTGTGAAAAACTTAAAATAAGACATTCTCAAATATTGATGATTAATCCTTAGTTTATGTTTTTTACATTTAAACTACTACCTATTCCCTAACTTCCTCAACATCTCTTTTCTCTGATAACTTCTCATGTATATCAGTTAGGCAAATATAATCTAGCTGTAGGCTCCCAAACAAATGCAGGTGTGGATATTTACTTCTTAGGGCTGAAAAGATATTGGCATCTACTCAAAACTTTTTAGTGTCCTAAGCCCTCTTTGACCAATTCTGTGGCCTCTAGTCCCTGCTAGTATTCCCACTGGGCATCTTCCATATTTTTTTTCTTTGGCTTTTCTTGGCTTCTCCAGCTCTGCATCTCAAAAACAAAGTGGAGGAAGGGAAGATCAGAGGTACTCTGATTTAATTTAGAAACTATTTATGTCAGGGGCACCTGGGTGGCTCACTTGAGTAAGTGTCTGCCTTAGAGAGATCCTTAGGCTCAGATCAGGATCCCAGATTCCTGGGATGGAGTCCCGTGTTGGGCTCCCTGCTCACTGTTGGGCCTGCTTCATCCTCTCCCTCTGCCACTCTACTCCTTTTCCTGTTTTTCTCTCAAATAAATAAATAAAATCTTTTAAAAAAATTACGTCTGATGGATTTTGTACAAGTCATTACCCCTTTCTGGGATTTAGTTTTCTCATTTGTAAAATGAAAAGCTTGAACTAGACGATTTGTAAAATCTCCCAATATCTATGATTTTATTTTACTTTTAACTACTTTCAAAACATGAACATGATTCAGCAATAAATTCCTTACACATTTATTAGGTATTGACAATTAAAATTCATGAAAAATATAAGATTAAAAATACAGATGTCTATCTGAAAATTATTTTTAAGTTTATATATTTATGAATAATCCACAATGTAAAAATTTTAGTACATTTCTAAATACCATGAGTTACTTTGTACTCTCAAAAAAAAAATAAATACTAATGTATGCCAATCTGTGTATGTACTAATCTATACTAATACTAATCCATAAAACAAAATCATGGTAATTTTTAAATTTATTTAAACATTTATTGTTATACACGTCATTGGTATAGTGAAAAGGTATGGGAAAAAAGAGAGATACAAAATAAATAAGAATTGTGCTAAATGTTTTATGTGATCTCTCATTTGAAAATCACATAGATCCTACAAAGTCAATATTAATTTATCCTTCTTGAAAATGAAAAACAACTCAGATTCAGAATTATGTAATTATTTTTCCAGAGCAGCATAACTATTGTTTTATTTGAAAGCCTGTGCTGGATCCACTGCCTGAAGGGGCTTATATTCTATTGAGAGACAGAGATATACACAAATAATTTTGTCATTTCAAGAACAGAGTGAGGGGAGGACATCAGCCTTAAGGTTTTAAATTGGAATCTTTGGAATTATATTCCAAATTTTTAAGTCATACCATAAGTCGGAGTGGTTTTAGGTCATTTTATGTGAACGTGCAATGCACTTTTAATCTGTGTTAGTTAGGGAGGTATGCTTATAACTAATCAATGGGGTTTCTAATCCTATCTCACTAGAATGGCAATAGAAAATCAGAATGTGGTACTTATGTATCATATTTACATTGTTTTCATGGTTAAAAAGTATAATAACCTAGTTCCTTATGAATTAAAGAAATAGAATTATGAAGTAGTAATTATAATTTAGCTGACTTTAATAAAAATTGCATTGTTTTTCAGCTGATAGAAGTGAATCATTGGCAAATAAACTTTTAAAATTTCTGGGCCAACTATGTATATTAAATTACAAGAGAACTTTGTAGTAAAGTTATTTGTGCCAATAAAAATACTAAACAATAAAATATATAATATGATTTTTAGCATAAATGTGACCAACAAATAATATGGGAATTTCTACCATATTCTATAAGCTTTTATTAAAATACATCGTTTGGGATGCCTGGGTAGTTCAATGGTTGAACGTCTGCCTCTGGCTCACGGCGTGATCCTGGGGTCTTGGAATCAAGTCTCCCACTAGGAGCCTGCTTCTCTGCCTCTCTCTCTGTGTGTCTCATGAATAAATTTTTAAAAATCTTTAAAATATATTGTTTATGTTGTAT